TCAACATGCCTTGCATCGCAGCACAGAGGCTCCCTATCTGAGGCGTTAGTCCCTCATCCGCTCCTAGTTGCTTGAGCTAGGATTCCATTTTGTACAATTACTCTCTTCTTGAGCCTCTTTCATCATGACTACCGTTTGGGTCTTTCACGCTCCAGGCTGCATAGAGCACCAACCAGAGGGCACAATTTATTCAGCCAATTTGCCATCCACCATATTCACGGGTAGTTTGAACTGGGCGCAGTGTTATACCAAATCGACAAGTGGCAGTAACCTAACTCAAACAATTTGGGGGTTCTGACAGCAAAAGCCCAACCTTTTCCGAATGCGATCCTTTTGAGCAGTTGGCAAGCTACGAAAGGTGCTTTGCACTGGGAACTAACACCTAGCAATACCAGGGTCACTGAAAAACACCAACAACTTGATGGCCCTGAATTGAAAGCAAAGTCAGACAAATGTTTTTTCTCTGAGGTCGCTCGGTTCCACTTTGCGAAAAAACTGGAGACTCGGCGCGACCGTCAGAACTCAATGGAGTTCTACAAGAGGTGCATTTAACTCTTGGCCTTGCGTTAACGATGCGCTGCTAATAGTGTCGGTATATACTAAAGAAATAAGTAAAGCAGAGAAATAAAAAAGTAATAAAATCGATAAGTAGCAAAGGTGTCCCAGAAATTATGTGCCGGCATAACAGACATACCTGAAGCATTTCTATTTTGGAATTGCATTGAAGTAAAAGTGCTTTTGAAAACTTCTCACTTTTCTCAAAATGCTCATCATTTTCTTCGAATTTCTCTTTAATCATCTTTTATCTTCTCTTTTGTTGTTTTTTACCGATTATTATTTTTGTTCTTTACTTCTTCAGTTTTGGATTCATTCCGTATTTCGATGATTCGTACGATCTCTCCAGTAGCACTGTTTGTTTAGGTGTAACCCATGGCCATCACAGTGGACTGAACCATTTGTTCTATCACCTTATTGCCACATTTGGTGTAAGTGATCATCAGGGAGGCATAGCTATTCTATTTCTGGCGTTACTTCTTCGTATTGGTAAGTGAAGAATTAGACGTTCATTCCAAGATGTAGGGGAATGAATGTGTGTCTTGCTCCCTGGTAAAAATTTGATCAGAATATTTATCTCATTGACTTTTTTGTTCGAATTTACCTACAGTATTGCAAGACCCGAGCCAGCTAAACTTAGGGTTAATCTCATATTTTCTTTGAGATATTTTTGTCAGCATTTGATTTCGTTCTCTATTCACTTACTTTATGTGGATTCATGCGATTAGTGATACTTAATTAAGGTTACGATAATTCATTCCGTCATCTCGCGGTTGAGATTGGTGGACCCAAGCGACTGTACTCTCTCGTGACCACGTGTTCAGCCATGATCCTCACTCCTATTGGAGTGCTTTCACTGGTTATGAAGACGG